CACTAGAACTGCAACTAACAATTATTTTTGATAATCCATTAATCTGTTGATTATTTTTTTCAATTCATCAATTAATAATCGGTTAGTGTTCCTTAAAGAAGATTATATGAAGAAATACACCAGGTGAAACGATAAACTGTCTCTATAGAGAATATTGAAAGAAGAAAATATATATATTTTTGTATCTTAAATGGTTCATATTTATATACGTTTTCACAATTTTGGTACATTTTCCTGCTCTAAGTGGGTCGCTCTGTCAGCTACAGGCATAGTTTACAGTCTCCATACTACAGTTAACGATTAATCGATCACTAAATTAGTTGACAATTATTTCAATAATCGATTTATCTGATTGTTTCAGCCCTAGATCAGACTCTCCCCAACAGACTGATAGAATATCTGCAGCATCTGAAGGACCTAAGCTTCCTCTATTAGTCCAGTCTGCTCTGTCCTTCTTGTAGACGGCTTCACAGTTGTGTCTCTGGTCTAGTCTGTTGTCCAGGTGAGCACCAGCGTATTTCTACTCCTCCTCCACTTCTTCTCCCAGGATGTTAACAGGATTCAACTTGTTCCTGTTTCTTCTTAAACCTCCAATCATCTTCTTGTTCTGTTGACATCCAGGATCAGATGATTGTTTCCACATCATGCCACCAAGTAGACCTCCATCTCTATGTGCTCAGCTTCTGCTCCAAATTTGATGCTCCCAATGACTGCAGAGTCATCCCAGTATTTCTGCAGATGGCAGGACTCTGTCTGGTCCTGGGAGAAAGAGGTGATAGAGGGAAAAAGGAATGGAGAGAGTACCGCCCCCTGTAGGTTATTGTTGTATGATGACATCATCAACCCCATCTCCATGGTGATGAGCAAACTGCAGGGGTCCTGATAGCTGCTGGTTTGCTGAGGTGAACCAACAGAAGTCTCTCTAGGACCTTCATGATGTGGGTTGTCATGGCAACGGGTCTATAGTCAGTGAGGACTGCTGGTCGAGTCTTGTTTGGTCCTGGAACAAGGCAGGAGGTCTTTCACAGCTGGAACTGTCTCCAGGGTCAGACTAAGGGCAAATAATATGACTGTAAACCAGCTGCCAACAGATCAATATCTGGGCTGCAGTGATGAATCTTCGCAGTAACATGTTCTGGATGACATCATCTGTTGTTGACAAGCACTGCCAACCACCTCCTTTGAGTTTCCCAGTCTTCTTTAAATCTCTGTCTGCTCATTTGGTCAGAAAGCCTGGCAGAGA